AATGTGGCTGATGCCAATCCCCGACACACCGATGTGGCTAGAGAGGTGGAACAGACGCAACTAACTATAATTTAAACATGTTTTACACAACGCATGCTAGAGCAAACTGCATGCAAATTAGCATAAAGGTGCACTTACATTAGGTATACATTTTTTTTTAAAAAAGAATATAAGAAACACATAAGGTAACAGAGAAACAGCGTTACCAGGGTTTATCTAAAGAAATTCTGACTAACTAGCGCGTCTAAAAGAGGAGATTCTGCTCAACTTTTCGTTCTGCAAACCCGAATATAATAAGCAGAGCAAGCTCTGCTAATAATTGCTATAGAGTTAACTTTTATGCTTTATGTAACAGCTAAGTCTTTTTAGCACTACCTTTTTCTTTTCTAGCTAAACATTATTCTACTCTATTATAAAAAAGGCTTTAGAGTTAAGGTGTGAAGCTATGTGGAGCACCAAAGACATGAGGAACTGGATTGTATTCTCTATCTAGAGGAGTCCTTTGTAGGAGTCTATATACATGCGAAATGAGTGGGTGAGTCTTGGCAACAGATCATGGTGACGACGCATACGACTATGATGACGACGCATCCGATCATGGTGACGACGCATGCGACCATGGTGACGACGCATCTGACTATCGTGTGATTACTGCAAACATAAGGTGTATATCTACTAGAAAATTATAAAAGAATACATCTTTACTTAAAGCTAAAGTTAAAGTTAAAAGTGTAACGGCGCAGGCAGGACAATGGGTCCGAATGCGGTGGGAATCCACTCAGAGGCATATGGGAGTGCGTGCGCCGTTACAAAAAGCACTAATAACTTTAAAAAAGCTAACTTTAATTTAGTAAGATAATAAAAGCTAGTGTAATAAAGCACCTTAGCTTATTAAAACAACTTTAATAAGTAAAAAAATTAGAATAAAACTGTACACCTGCTATAATAAAGAAATTAAGACATCTAGCTTATTATAATAATTAATAAGATAAGGAGCTTTTTAAGGTAAAAGTTAACTATTTTTATAGAGGGCTACTTAGCACACTAATTAGGCTACTGTGCTATAAAACGCAGAGTTTTATCTAATTATTACTCTAAAATATAACCTTAAATAAAGCTCTTAACGCAATAGCTAATAGGGTCTAAAAACAGGAGGGAAATCTCCTAAAATATAACCTCTCTAACCTGTACTATAGTACGTACTTAGCAATTCACTGTACAAAAGTTATGTCTTACATTTTAACTACTTTTGTACGCCTCACGTGATTACTTGTCACGGTTATGTTACAGCTATCTAACCCCTGAGTACCCTAAGGGCTTGGCACGGGGTATATAGGCTCCTCGGCCTCCGTACCTCTGCCTCCGACCCTAAGGTTTACTCTCTTGTTACCCCCCTATCCTGCATTCCCTCTCTGTGACCTGTGTTTCCTGCTTGATACCTCTCACATTACTACGTTCACGTAGTTACGTTACGTACTACGGACTGTTGGCCACGCTGATCGTACAGTAAAACGACCAGCGGCTCTATTCATAAGCACTGCAATCTCTAGGGCCGTGGAGGTGTGCTTCAGTTCGATCTGTGAGGGTCGTGAGAAGTTTTAAGTTGTTCATGTTCGTGAGGGATGAGTAAATTACTAGCAGAGCTGTGATGGTGGCTATGCTTAGCAAGTCCCTACACTATCTAGAGCAGCATACAGCACTCTTCTCTTCAGATATATCTACAAACCATCGCCTCCGGCGCAAGCTCCTGGCCGGTGCGGTTCGGCCGTCCTCCCTGCTAGCATCATTGGAGGAGTTCGAGGACCCTCTGTCTTGGATAATCAGAAGCTTGTAGAGTCATTGGAAAAACCGTTCTATATGGTTCCGTAAGATTCCATGGCCCTCGGCATGAGTCACCTAAGGCTTTAATCTAACACATATAGGCATTTACAATTAGCTACAGCAGATTATTCTTATAGTAGAAAAGAACTAAGGCTTTTTCTTAAGGTTTACTACATAGGGGTCCTTCTAACCGGGCTGTTCCGCGTGCACAAGCTAACATCTATGCGTAGAATGTTCTGAATAATTTACAACCCTTTGTAAGTAGGTTGCTAACAAACTTTACGTCCCTTATTTAGCTCACTCTACTACTAAAGTGTACTATGATGCTAAAGACACTAAATTAACAATTAACGTACAAGGAGCGTATACAGATTAATACCCTTTATAAGATAGGCTAGAAACAAAAGGATATTACCTAGAAACTAGGGATACCTGCTTCTACAGTCTCTCTCTGCCTCTGTACGCCTAAGACGCCTACGAAGCCTAAGAGACAGTCTCCTATCCTATAAACTCTATTTTAAATCCTCCTTGTACAGCATGTGTAAAGATGGGATAGTAGATAGCACGGATAGCACTGAGAGCAAGGGTTCGGAGAAAGATAGGAGTGTATTGTAAGAGAGACAAATCGCTGCCAAGCCTCGCCTGTTAGGATTCATGCTTATATACGAAGCACAGGTCATGTGACCCCTAAACAGGTTGGGTGAGGCTATACTAGCCTGTTCTAGGACACCTAGCCTTATATTATCCCCCTTTATAGTAGTCCTACAACTTAGACAATAAAATAGATAATAATAAGGCTAAGTAGCATAATAAAGTGTTATATAATACTTTAAAGGCTTTCTTTTACTTATTTTAGTTAATTTTATATAAGTTTATTTAAAAACAACTTAGATTTATTAAGAAAAGTAAAGTAAAAGTATAAAGTAAAAGTAAAAGTAAAATAGCAGTATATCTTACACTAATAAAGTAGTAGTTAGAAGAGAGTCTAACTATTCTAGAAGTCTATCTTCTTTATACTTTTACTTTTTTTTATAGGTTAGAATTTAGAAGATTTTAAACTTTTTAAAGTAAGTATATTTTAAGCTACTTTAGCATAATCTAGTATAAAAGAGTGCTAATAAGCTTTAATAGTCTTATTCTACCTTACTTACACTAACTGTTATTTAATCTGCTTTTAAGTTTTTCTTTTATACTTAATTTTACTTAATAACTTAAAAATAAACTTTTTTAGCCTACTTTATTATAATCTAACTATAGTTTTTTTAAAAAGGATTAATTAGCTTTAGCTAACATAAAATTATATTCTAATAACTTTTATATTTAATATGTTAATAAAATGTATTAGACAAGCATTATAAATAAAAGTAGTAGGTATTACGTACTTATAAATAATAAATTATATTATAGCATAAAATAAAACTGAGTATATAAAGCGTGCTTATTACTTTATATCTAGTAAAAAGTGCTTTAAGATGTGTATTTTAGCTTTTTCTTTAGCATATTTATACATAGTCTATTTAAGCTAACTTTAAATAGCTTCTTATGTTGGTTGACCTAGGTTTAATTAAACAAACGTACGCCTAAGAGGCGTACTAAGAGGTAAGTAGGCAAAGATCTTCTTGTTATTAACAACTGCCCTCTCTCTTTATACAAAGAAAGAGAGCTCTTAAGTACACATAGCCTTTAACGCATAGGCTAGATAGCTAACGTTTTAGGCAACCTAATTTAGCTGTACGCGTGTACAAACGCAGCTGTACTTATGTATAGACACTAGCAACTTTTTATTTTTATAAATTAAGTTACTTACCTACCTTACTTTATTTTTTATTTTTCTTTATACTATCTCTTGCATCCTTTTCTTTTCTTCTTTATACAGGGCCTATAGTGTACTGCTAGTTTACAACACCTGCTAGCTTTTTAGCCTGCGTACAGCATCTTCTTCCTGTAGGATAGATCCTGTGCTTAGCTAGAGCACAAAGGAGCTCTCACCTAAATCCTATATTATCTAGCTCTTAAAGTCCTCTATAAAGCAAAATAGCTTGTACACTCCTGTACACATATAGATAAGAGTGTTTACTATATATAAGGTTTATTATACTTAAGAAGGGCTTATTAACATGTTAAGGCAGTCTACTAAGAGAGTAAGGTTAACCTCTCTCTGTAGTATTATTCTAGACACGTAGGTCACCTTTGCAAGTTCATTATACGTAGAGCGT